TCTCCCTTCCGGAGAGAAATCAGGATCAGGGTTGACTAACGATTGCTTTCCCCTGTCGGTCATATTAATAGTGACCTCAGGGAATTCATCTCGCCGAATTGCAGGTTTCTTCTTGTTGAAATGCCTCATTTTGGGTCTCGACGCTTCAGTGGAAAGTCTTTGAAATACGGAGACTCTTGTTGAATTAGTTTTAGAGCATCCGCATTCTGTCAGCACTGCCTTAATGAGTCTTTCACAGGAGCAGTGAGACTCGTTTTCTCGTACAATTCTTTTTCTTGAGTTATTTTTCTGATAGTACAACTCATCATTATTGTGATTTGAGCAACCTATCTCTTGTGCTTGAACCTTGTTAACATGCACAGGGCGACCAGTCGTCGCCTTTGGGAGATCCAAGGTTAAATTTTTAATTCCACCCCTTTGCGGGTGTGGAGTATTCATAGGTCCTAAACGAGAGTGAACTGGTATTCTCTCATTCTGGACTGGTGCAGTTCTGACAGGAGGGTGTTTACGACCCCCTGTATAAGAAACCACTAAGGGTTTATTTGCTGGATCTGATTGTTCTTTGACTGGGGTTTTGCCTCGATCGTTAACCGAAGGACCGAGGCGATCCGCCATTGTGATTTTAAATTTGGATAAATCTGGGCTAACCCAGGGTTTCACTGGTGATGCAGTAGACGGGCCCGGAATGGATGTTTGCGGCGTCTTCGGCATCCAAACTCTACGGTTCTTTGGTGACTTTTCAGACACCATCTCCTTCTTCCCTTCTTGTTTTTGTTGACGAAGGGCACGATTACGAGCAGCGTTTATACGACGCTTTTGTATATGTTCTTTGAGAGTTGAACGTGCTCTTTTGACGAGGGTCCATTCCTCCATCGTAAGTTATGCAGAAATATGATTATTTTGCCGTTAAGGCAATTGAACCATTTTTTGCTTCCTCGACTTTAGGTCCGCATAGTAATGGACCCCATCGGTTTGTTGTAATGCCTTAGCCAGTTGACGAGCGCGGCGCTGACGTTGTCTTTGACGAGCTCTTTTCGTCATTATCGGCTGGCCATGATTCAATGACTCCTTAATTGATACAGAGTCATTTGGAGCAGAGATGTTGCAGGCAGATTCCTTGGCGACAACCTGGCAAGAATCTTCACCTGTGGTCTTCATCAGAATTGAAGACTTAGGAACTTTCTTGGAAGAGGAAATCTTCCTGCACTTGCGGGGCGAGGAAGATTTTGATGATGAGGATAACAGGTACTCCTCGAATTTGGCCTGATCGAACTCATATTCGATCTCTTCAGTGATAATGATCTTAATCGGCTGCGACACTACGGCCTCGGCAGCGAGGCCGCTAGGCTCCCACTGTTGGTTCGCCAGTTTGTTTTCAACGAAAGTTCGTTTCCATTGTAGAATTCCATTTAAAACTCGCATCTTTTACAAGGAAAATTACAATGAATGAATAAGCCAAAAATTTACAACTCTCGCAGAAAATAAAACACAGAAATTGTTATCAACTCCTGCTTTTGTGGGACTTTGCCTGGAGCCTGCACCGTGAGTGCTTTGGCTCGCTGGAACACCGCAATTCAAAAGATCGTGAGCGGTGTTAGGATCTATTCCGTTCGTTTATCGAGTTAAGATTTTGCAAAGCCGAATAATCTTATCGATGTAAGATGTTCACTCTTCCAAAGATCAAGTCTGAGCTTAGATCTCTAGGAATACGAAATGTGCTTGCTCAAAGGCCCGTGAAAGGTTCTTCTCTTTCTTCCTCAAAAATCACCAAAAGCTTCAAGTCTCTTCTAGCTCCAAAATGCTCTCATGTCCTCTTATTTCGTGCCTAGCCGGAGTATTATAGGGGTCATGAGCTGCACAACAGTTAAAACGGGGGCGAAGTAACCGACCAGATGACTATTCTTTGCGTCGCGCGCCAGTCGACACTTACCGCGCGTTATTGACGCGTAGTGTGCGACTGCCGCGGCCAAAGAGGCGGTTACCAGCACGTTCCATCGTGCTTGAAACTGTTCTCCCACGTCCTTTAACCACCTTTTTCGCGGTTTAACTGCTTGTCCACGTCAGCACACGTTCTATTTCTGATATGCCGCCACGTGGGCTTCAAATAATCATCGTATAACTTTTTTGTAACCGCTGCAGCATCTTCCTATACTAGTCGCGGCACCATATGCTGTCGCGTCTTAGCCGCGGCACCATAGGCTGCCGCGTCTTAGCCGCGGCACCATAGGCTGTCGCGCCTTAGCCGCGGCACCAAGGGCTGTCGCGCTTCAGCCTCGCCGCCATGTGCTGTCTGTTGGTGTGTACATGTTGTCTCACTTCCTTTAAATGATTCCCTCTGATTAAGAGAATGGTGTTTATCGTCTTCTCTTTGCCTTGAGTGGTATTTGGATGTCTGTAAGCATTTTTTGACGCCTACAAATGAGGGCATAAAAATGTAATAAAATGTGACGATCAATGAGATGACATTCTTTCAGAAAGAGCAACTCTGTGTCCAATAAGAATATGTTGCTTCTTTGGATCTTATAAGTTAAACTTTGCTACTACCTTATAAATATAAGTAGACTTGGATAATGCTATTAACCTGTTAGCCTTATCTTTATAGAGTTTAAGTCATAAATTATATGATATCTCACCAATATTTTTCCATAGAGAATTTATTAGACAACCATAATTTAATAGTTGATAGTATTCCAACATCATTCACATTGTTTAGAGTATTGGATAAAAGTTAATTTTTAGTTAGAAGTATTTGATAAAATGTTTTATAGAGAATTTATTAGACAACCATATTTTTTAAAAGACTTTTTGAAGGTTATTAATAAAATTTGAATATTTGGTGGTAGTTTCAGATTGTTCAAAAGGCTGATTGAAGATTTTAGATTTTCAGATGTTATATTAAATTTTTGCTTTTTTGGGGTGTTTTTAGCAACTTTAGATTTATAGAAGTCTATAAATTTTACAATTTTGGGGTGTTGTATGTAATTAAAAATTGTTCATGGTACTGTTCAAATTTTTTTGATTTTCAAGTTATTTTTTTCCTAAATTTTGGAATTTTTTCAAGCTGTTTTTTTTTTTTTTGATAATTTTTAACTTTTTCAAGAGAGGCTATTTGTAAGTTTAATTTTTCAAGGTATTGTTTATAATTTCAAGTTGTTTAGGGGTTATTCATATTTTTCATATTTTAGGGTGTTTTTTAGAATTTTTGGCGAGTAGGTTGTTAGTAATTTTTAAAATTTAGCGTTCTGCTTGTAATTTCATATTGTTCAGGAGGTTGTTCAAAATTTTGAGATTTTTTAGAATGTTTTTGTAACTTTTAAAAAAAAAATTTGGGGTCACGATGTTTCTAATTTTTAGAACTTTTTAGTGGCAATTTGTAATATGTAACTATATATGAGGTTGTTTACAATTTTTAAAGTTTTAAGCATTTTCTAAATGTTTGATTTCTAAGGGATGGATTGTAATTTTTAGAATTAAATGGTGCTTTGTACAATTTTTAGATTTTTAAGAATATTGTTTATAACTTTTTGGATTTTAAAGAATTTTTTAAAGATATTTTTAATTATTAAGAATACGATCAAAAGTATTGTTTTGTAGATCTATTTGAATAATTCTTATAATTAGGATATAAGAGCATGTGATATTTACAAAAGTTCAAGGGCGCATATCTTAATTGGGAGTGGTAATATGGCAATAATATTACTATGTATATATATACTATAGTCGTTATATATATATATATATATATAATATATATATATAGAGTATATATATAATAGATAATATATATAATTATAATTTTAATATTATGGCGAAAAGTGTTCCTAAGGTGACAAAGCTCAGTTTGACCCAACACAGCAAGTTTGGGGAACTCGTCGTAATGCCACTCAGGTACGAGGTCATGTGAAAAGTTCTATTCATTCGAAACTTGTTAAAACTTGATAACGAGTGATGAAGGGTCAAACGACCGGACAGAGTTACCCAACTTGTGGTGTGTTGGGGTGGTTTTCTAGAAATATGTTAGATCAAGTTCAACCGGAGCTAATCATCCACATGTTAGTCAATCATGTGATTATTAGACCGTGTCACTTAGATGATTAGCTCAAGGTCCGCTAGGAACACTTCTATGGAAAAGTGTTTAATGTGACTCCTTAGATATCATCTAAGAACCGCCTAAATCACTGCATGAGCTACATTGTGGATTGATCACGCTCCTCGTTAAACTTGATTCTACCCATATTCCTAAATCCCAGACACACAAGTTTGGGTGAACCCATCGTCATTTGACCCTCAGGTGAGCCATGTGAAAAAGTCTTTTATTCATTCGAAACACCGTAAAATTGAGGTACGAGGGATATAAGGGATCAAACGACGACGGAGTATCACCCAATTGAGTGTGTTGGGTTTTTGAGATTATGTACTTTTAAGATCACGTTAACAGAGCGCGGGATCATCCACATGGCTAACTAATCATGTGATCTTTAGCATCGTGTCCTTTAGATTGATTTATTAAGGCGTCCCTTAGAAACACTTCTCTCATATAATATCATTATATATGTATATATGTATATATACTAGTATATATAAATTATAATATATAATACTATGAGGTATAAAGTAAATATATATAGAAATGAATATAGGGTATATCCTATAAATATATAGAGGTAGGGAGAAAGAAAAGTGGGTTCATGAACTTTTGTAGTGCTGTTCATTATTTCATCGACTCATTCCGAATTCTACACCAATAACCGGAACTCATGTGAATGTGTGGCCCCGATTTTAATGAGTCGGAGAGAAGGTAGTACCTCCATATCAAGCACACAAATTTATCTTTGTATCAAGCATATGTTATTTTCTCTCTCTCTCTCGCTCTCTCCTCCTATATAATATATATAAGTAATATATAATAATATATAGTAAGTAAATATAATTACTCCGCGTTAAATGGCGCAATATTAATAATAATGTGAAAATGAAAGTTAGTTAGTGGGCTCTTTTACTGAGCTAAGAAGCAAGAGAAGAATGAGCATCTCTTGCTGTCAGCCACCTACCTCTGAGAACTACATCTCCCCTCCCTCGCTTCCTCTAAATGAATCCCAAAGTTCTCTCCTTTTTCTAGGGTTAGAGTTTCAGGGAAATTTACTATTTAGAAGGCTCCACACGAGCTTCGATCGGATTCTTCACTCACCAAACCCTGCCAGTTCTTGTTGGAAATGGGGACCGGGACCCACTCTCTCTCTGAGGATAGGTTACAGGATTAGGGTTTGTTTTATAAGGGAAGAGCTTTTGGGAATTGGGGTTTTGTTGGAGATCTGAAGAGATCAGAGGTTAGTTGTAGATACTTTTAGTATATTCTTTAGATTTTACCTTTTTTTTGGGTGCTATTTGGGTGATTCAAATGTGGTCTAATTTGGTGCTGTTGTTGTGCCCAACTAAGATTGAATTGGATTTAAAACAATAATTCCTTTTTAACTGGAAATATGTTTTTTTATTATTAATTTGGCTATTGCTTTTTTTTTTTTTTTCTTGGATAGATAGGTGTCGTTAAAAAGGTGGCATAAATTTAGTGAATTCTACTTATTACTCTCTTCTTCTTCTTCTTTTTTTTTTTTTTACTTTTTTTTTGGTGCCTCAACTTGGAGTTTGTATGACATTGATTGGGAATATTGTATATAGAGGGGTGAAGGTTATGGTCATTGTAATAGACATCAATATAACCTTCTCATTTGGTCATTTAGCTAAGATTTATAGCTGTGAATTGCAATATATATATATATATATATATATATGAGAAATATGGGTATGCTTGGTACCAAGCATAAATTTTGTGCTTGGTAGTGATGTGTCACATTCCCATCCACCCATTATCCATATGAATGTGGTCCCACATTTGAATGAGTGGAGGAAGATGTGACACCTCACTACCAAACACAACTTTTTGTGCTTGGTAC